CGCAATATCCAACTGTTGTGTTGCGCGGCGTATAACTCGGAAATTACGCAAAAATCCACCCCAAAGACAGTGCTTTTTGAAATCAGCGTGTTGAGAAGGCCCTGCACGCCAAATATGGAGGCAATCGAGACGCCCCACAATACCACATTGGGATGTTACGCGACGAATAACTCGAAAATTACGCGAAATTCCATCCCAAAGACGGTGATTTTCGGAATCAGCGTGATGAGCAGGCCCTGCACACCAAATTTGAGGCAATCGAGGCGCCCGCAATATCACATTTGGATGTTACGCGGCGTATAACTCGAAAATTACGCAAAATTCCACACCAAACGCTGTGATTATGGGAATCATCGTGTTTAGAAGGCCCTGCACACCAAATTTCAAGGCAATCGAGACACCCCGCCATATCCAACTGTTGTGTTACGCGGCGTATAACTCGGAATTACGCAAAATTCCACCCCAAAGGCAGCGATTTTCGGAATCAGCATGCTGAGCAGACCTTGCTCACCAAATTTGGAGGCAATCGAGACGTCCCGCAATATCACATTGGGATGTTACGCGCGCGTATAACTAAAAAATTACGCAAAATTCCACCCCAAAGGCAGTGATTTTCAGAATCAGTGTGTTGAGAAGGCCCTGCACACCAAATTTGGAGGCAATCGAGACGCCCCGCAAAATCGCATTGGGATGGTACGTGGCGTATAACTCGGAAATTACGCAAAATTCCACCCCAAAGGCAGTGATTTTCGGAATCAGCGTGTTGAGAAGACCCTACACACCAAATTTGGAGGCAATCGAGACGACCCGCAATATCACGTTGGAATGTTACGCGGCGTATAACTCGACAATTACGCTAAATTCCACCCCAAAGGCAGTGATTTTCAGAATCATCGTGTTGAGAAGGCCCTGCACACCAAATTTAGAGGCAATCATGACGCCCCACAATATCCAACTGGCAATTGGATATCAATCTGCTGCTAGATTGACGGACGTGATTGACACAGGTGACGGAAATCCGAAGCTGCAGAAAATAACTGTCGCAGTTGCGCTATTACTGCTCCCATGTCGCTAGGCAAAATAGAGACGGATTGCTGGCTTGAGTACTTTGGTTACCTTGTCCTAAAAATAAAGATATGGCAAATTTCACCCTGCTGATGCTTAATTTACCAGGTCCTAAAAGAGGTTTGAACATATCTATACCTGAACTGAATGTATTCACATTTGCTAATTATCGAACAGCTCTTCACGTTAGACAGTTCCTAATTTAGTAGCGACAACTCTGTTCCTTTTGGTCAGGTACGCTCATATGCCCTACAGAGATCGCCTTGCCCATAGGTGTCTAATACCACTGGTATTAGATATGTATGTTCGTCTGCCTGGTCGCACATGCTACTGCTCCTATTTGAGTCTGCTTCGGGCAGTAGGTAGTTTTTCATAGGCGCTGCATGGTTATTTGCCGTCGACGCGCCGAACTCCAAATCATCGTCGTTGCCTTAAAAGGTAAAATTCGTACTAACTCGTTCATTTTGTTCTACCTTAGAGGCTCGAGGAAAATTTGTGTAGCGCCTTGCGCTATCTAAAAATTAAAACCTATTTCACCTGTAACTCTCTCTATTTTTAACCAATATTTGTGCTGGAGGTGGCTAACTTCGTGGTGTACATTGCAGACGCCTCGAAATTATTCTGGCACCTCTCTTTTTGGTCTAGGATAATTATGCAAATTTGTGGACATATAACTGCCACGGAAATGATGGAACTATCTCGACCACTCTCACAAGCAAACTGAAGTGCGGCACTCTGTACTGACTATGACATGCTGACATGTTGAATGTGAAATGTTGTAATTATCCTCCCCAGCATATGGTAGCCATGTCAACCCCACATTGGGCAGCCAATTGCATTCATATGGGAGCCATGTGGGCGCAGGGCTCTACGGTCGCGCATCAAGATCAGATTTGCAGCTGTGTTTGAAACATGTGGCTAAAATCGGACAAGTTTGCTTCTAAATACGTGAACACTTGCAGTATGGCTATGAACGCATGCCAATAGGCACCACTATCTGCGATAGTGGCGCCTACATTTATTTATTAAGCCTCATTGCACATCAGTGTCATTAAATACGCTAGCTAGTTGGCCTTTAAGGTCAGCTGAACAGTCAGATTTTACATATCTTGGGAAGCTACACCCCAGCGCGTGTGAAGATTAAAAGTGTTATGCAGGCACCCAGTTCCCCATTTGACAGCGTGCTGCATTTGACAGTATGCTACTGTTGGTGTCCATCCATAGCTAGGTCTACGTTTGTGCAAGGTCAGGTTAGGTCAGGTCACGAAAGGTCAAGTGACGCTTGCATTACGCCCTTCACTTTGGAAATTGTCATTGGCAAGCACTGAGCGCAGCCGAGTTCTGTTGGCTCCGCAGTTCTGCGTCCTTTTCCGAATTGGATGGCGTGTCCCTGGCATGGTTATCTCTTGGCCCGTGTTTTTCACATGGCTTCAACATTTGTTGTGTTTTAAGGCCAATCAGACAAGAAAATTACATTGAATCCTTAACATGTCTAAACGAATCGGTCTCTGTTGATGCACCCATAGCGAGTGCAATTATTTGGTAGGTACGCTTGAAATTCGGCGTTCCAACGAGTGAGAAGTGCATATTGATTTCCAGAACAGGTCAAATTAGTGGTCGAAATTCGGGGAAAATTTCGGGGAAAATGGACGTTGGCATTGCCTGGGCAATTGTAGAGTGAATGATTTCACGGGAAAGATTTCCCGTACTAACTCAATTCACTACCCGTCGGGCTGCGTCTACACTAGATGGCTTCACGGATAGTGTTTTGCCATCTCGGTGCAATGTTTTCCCGTGGGTCTGTGCATACACTCGGTCCTCAACCAGCTAGGACCGTTTATGCCCACGCACTGGCTACACGCTTGCAGTTTCTAGGCATGTAATGACAATACATCATGGAAGACGCTCAGGAAGGATAACACCCGACCATATTCTGTTGTATGGGTAATTGCAAAATGACGTAAATGGATGAGGATAATAAGCTCAATCCACCTTATAACTAAATGATGCGTGAGCAGTAACGCTGTGTAGCATGTCCTTGAAAATCTCTCGGACATTTTGTAAGTCTTACCCACCGTAGTACAGATACAACCTACCCACACTGTTACACATTTAACGTGGGCACCTATGGATTTCCCCAACCTATGAAGCCCTCTCGTCCACAGTCCTCACCAACCTAACCAGCTACACCTGCATGACCTTCCCCCCTTCCGTTTGACGTGTTTTGCCGTACGTAACCTTTATATTATGGAAATATTAAAAACACATTCCGTTCGTCCCCATATACCAGTCGGTTTGAGCGCCCACCTTTTCATTCATTCACCAGTGACAAGCTGGGTTTGAGTCGCTTTATGCACTTGCCGCTTGCCTCTGGCGCTTTATATACTTACCGTTTGCCTCCAGCTGGTATAACTTGTGGCATGTAGCAGCAGCCTTGCTTACGTTCAGGTGACGTCATAGGGGAGGTCCGAGCGTGCTGAGCATTGTGGGGCGTGGAATTTTCTCCGCAGAGTTTCGCCGATGACCCGGATTTCTACCATCATACCGTGGTGCAGCCCTCACGCAGGGAACAGGAAGCAGCTTACAACAAGACAGTGGAAGGGCCTGGCCAGTCGCGGGCTCAAGTACCGAACAGGGGCCATTCAGAGCCCCTTTCAGGCCCCGAAACGAAACCGTGGCCTCGCTTAGCCGGGGCTCGATAAGCCCAGCTGCGGTCCATACTGCGGTCCATATACGTGTTTGGGTGGCATGTTTTATTGTCAAAATCGTCTCCGAAGCGTTTTTGATTCGATTATTTTTAAATCAGAGCTAACGCAGCAGTATCGTGCATGGTCTAGGACTCTATCCCCCAATTGTGAAATTCCAATTCTACGGCAGACTTTTGTGGAAAAGGCTGCATGTGCCGTAATGCTTGGCACGATCACCTGCCTTTTGACCTCCCTCACAACGCACAGCCACTGCCACCGGCGCATACCATCCGAGTCAGAAGTCAAATGGCGAGCGCACATAGACGCAGTAGCCAAGATCGACAATGCAGAGCCCCTCCCCCCGCGCACACACAACTGCCATTACGTGATGAGCTCTCACTGGGATGCCCCCCTCCCCTCCCGTGTATGACCATCCTGGATGTGCTCCTGCGAGCGCGTAGATAGTGACTTGAACCCTTAAACGGCCACAGGTAGGTCTGTATCGCCAGGAGCTGATGCCAATGCTACGGAGGGCAGCAGGTCGTATTTTTGGCCAAGATTTAATTCCTTTTGATGATTATTCATGACTTTCCACCTGTAGTCGGAGGTTTCAGCCCTGATGTCTGCTTGGTTTCCTCCACCAGATTTTAGTTGGCACCGTTGGTGCTGGATCAGCTTTTTGGTGCTAAACTGGCCGTTTCGGCTTGCTGATTCAGCTGGTGATCAGGGTGCGTATTTCGGTGGAGGCCGTTCTGGTTGTCCAATTGATTTGGCCGAGTAAAAATGTGATGTTCATGCAAAATAGTACAATAAAAGCATAAAATGAAAAAGAAAATTCGAACGTCCTACCAAATCTGATGATCCTTAAAGTAGAATAGTACTAAATTAGTAAGAATAAGAGAAAAATAGGTAAATCGCACAGAACTTGGATAGTGCATACGAAGTATAGCCTTAAATAGCCATGTAATAAATGATTCGTTATGGCACTAATGAACGGCATCTCAACCTTTCTCAGCTGTCAAATTAGTGTCATTTATGAGAAGACAATAATTTATTGAGGTACAAAGTCCGGCACGCCGCTATCCTCGGCAGCCGGCGTTGTTGTCAAGGTCACCCTTAGGAAGGAAGGTGTTGCCGCGGGTGGTCAGTTCTTTCGGATCAGTAGCCGATGTGTGGGGACGTGTGGCGTTCGGCGTCGTCCTGCAGCAGCTTCTCCACGTGGCCAGAGCGGGCAGTCCTTTATCAACAATGGCTTGTGTCACTTTTGAAGAGCGAGGGACGCCCAACAGCGAGGACTACCGAATCTACTATCGTGAGTAAATTATGCTAATTTTATTGTCATTGCCCGGATCGGTCGACCGATCCGGGTCGCGCTCTGAAGATATTTCAACTTGTTAATGTATGTAGGTAACGCATCTGGGCAGGTTTGCTGAAAAAGACCTCCAGCTTCAGGAAACGAGTATCTGAATTATAATCACATTTGTATGCCGAGCTGTTCAGATAATCTGGTCATGTTTGTAGGCAGGCTGTCCTTGTGTGTTATAAACTAGTAGAATGAAAAGCTGTGGAGGTGTTCTGGCAGTGTCATGTTTTGTCTGTATGTAAGCTGTGTAACCAAATATAATCATGACGCAAGGAAGTAATGCATGTCAACTTGCTACATTTTGAATAGTTCTGTGGCATTAGCTATGAAGAAATCATTGCCATGCTTTCAGCATAAACCTCATATATTATTGTTCTTTTAGCAGTGACCAGCGGGGGTGGTGGTGGTCCGATGCCTCAGCGCCGGTGTCGGGCGCGAACCGAGCCGACTCACGGTCTCATGGTCACGTGGTCAGCCGCCCACCGCTCCGCCAGCTGATCGCGCGCAACATCTCTGAACATCACCAGAGCCAAAGCCGTCATGGGTGCTGGCCGCGGCAGTATCGGCATGTGTGTGCACGTGCCAGTGCGGCCACCTGGCCTGGGCCCGTGCCCTCCGCACCTGTCCCACCAAAGTGCTGCCCGTGTAATGGGTCCGTTTACCGGCTCCAGACCTTTGTCGACTTGCTTAATGGTGCCTGTTTAAGTCTTGCGGCTATAAACCTGCGAGGAGCTTTGGCCCCGCCGAGTCGTCGGCTTCGAGTGGTTGCGCGTCGTCCCGTTCGATGCGCATGAATCGGTTCGGTTCGCGTCATCGCAAGACTCGGCGGGCTGCCGCGGCAAGGTGGGTCTGGATGATGGTACGGATGATGGATGATGGTACGGATGATGATACGAATGATGATGATGGTATGCGGCTAACTCCAGAAGCGTCAGCATCTGCGAAATCCCGCAGCGCAGGTGCCAGATCGGGCATATCTTTCATGGCTCGTCGACCGGTTTGCGCCGCTGTTTCTGACCGCCGGTGGGCTGCGAGCTGCCAGCGAGAGATGCTATTTTTGCCCTTTTACCCTTTTTTTTTACCCGCCGCGCTGAAGCCGTGATGTGCGGCTGCTGGAAGGAAGTGTTCCACATTTGAAGCTAGTGAAGCAGGCATCAGATATGATGAAATAAGTTCACTGGTAACTATTGGTATAATTAAAGATGGAATAGACTGCTCTAGACAACACGATTTGTCTTCAGCAAATATGCTCCTCAGTACGTCATTGTTCGATTACGTCGCCGTAGCCTGCACCATATTGACTGAGAGCCGATTGGTGACCGCTATATCTGGAAATCGTGCTCATGAACGTTTTGACACTGGTATTTTTCTTGGCCTTGATCGCCACGTAAGCGACGAAGCGGCAGGCTTTGAATGGCGTTATTGTGGCGTCATGATGCGGGGGTACCTAGAAATAGTATTCCCGAAATAGCCCGCACATCTTCGCGGACGTGTAGCTCAGTAACTAGATGTGCTTAATCTTAAGGACAGGTCTGTGAACTACACCGAATGATCTTCTAAATGCCTACTTCAGCTCAAAACGTCCACGCCAATGTGGAATTCGCCCTTCCGTTCTGTTCCGTTCTCTGTTCTCGGAATCTGACCGGTGTTCTCCGGCAGCTGCGCGACCGACGCGTGCCGTCGCCCTCGTACTGTGGCTTTCTGGGGTTGTCAGGGGTGACCGATCCGTCAAAACGGCTTTCTCAGCAGCGCGGTGTGGGGGGGTCGTGCCGGCCGCGTAGCCGGCCTCCCCGTGCCGCCCGTTCTGAGGGAGGAGCGAGCGGCCCCGGAGGCAGGCTGCCCGGCTGCCGTGGCCGACACGCGGCCACCAGGCCCAGGCCCGACTGCCAGAAGGAGGCCCGTTTCGTACTTCAGAAAGTTTTCACGAAGGAAAGGATGTTCAGAAAGCGGTCATATCACGTGACGCATTCGCTGCATGGACCGCGGCCAAACCGGCTGTTTCCCCCGCGGAAGAGGCGGCGTGTTAGGCAATGCCAGCTGACATTTGTGAAGCGACGTGGCGCTGACTCGCTTTCCGGTACAAGCGTGACGGTCATTCGTGACAGAAGCGCGCCCGATACCTTAGAAGCACTCCCGGCTCAATACAAGGTTTGTGACGTTTAGAGCGGCGGCGGTGCAGGTTTGTGGGGTTCGGTAGTTGGGGATGGGCTCCTCTGACCGTGACACGGAGTTGGGGCTGATAACGGGTTGGCCGACGGCCGGTGCTGGGAGCGGCGGGCGACATCACGGCTCGACCCTCCCCAACCCCCTCCGCCCGGCTCACGACACCGGTCGGCAGGGGCTCACCGGCACGGCAGAAGTGGTGGCTAGCACGTGCTGGTGTGCTGGGGAGAAACTCGTGAAAAAGTGGATCGCAAGGTGGAAAGGCCACTGCAGTGCCTTGAGTCGGAAATGCGAGCGGAAATACACGCCGTAGTGTATTTTATGCGAATTCTCTGGTATGGTTGGATGCTTCTATTGCGAGCTTCGATGTACTTCCTTTACTTACCTAGCTGCGAATGTCAAAAAGCAATCGGTTTCAATAAGGACGCAGCCAGCGGCCGACAACTGAGCGGTAGCTCCTCATCCACCACCCATCGGGTCCACTTGACAAATCCTGGTGGGATAGATGCTTTACGCTTTTGGGTTTGACGGTGTGTTCAGTGTCGCAGGCCGACAACAGCAAAACAATTGCTTCCATTGTGATACGGGGTTGAAGGAAGCCTCACAACCGTGCCGAGGGAGGATGCCGAAGCCGTCTCCCCGAAATGTGTTAGTGGTGGTCGGCTGTTTCTCCTACATGTTGGTAGTGGCCGGCTGTTTCTCCCTGCTCAAACGTTGCTGTCCTCCAACTCTGAACACCAGACCGTTGGACCAAGCAACTGTGTGGAACTACGTGAACTATGAGCCGTGTGCAAATGGCATTTTAAATGGTCGATGGCTACTGGAAATGTATCAAAAATCTCAAATCTTAAGGTGCTGTTCCTGGTGATATTGCAGTAGGGGCGCTATTAAAATTGTGTGTTTTTGTCAACAAGGCTTCGTATTATTGGACGTTTTTGATGTACAGCCATTTCATTTTGTCGACTGTTAAACCTATTTTTATAACAAATTATCGTCGGAAAGCTTAAAAATATCTTCCCTAAGCCGTGGGTTTCATTTCATCATGCTTATTTTTCGTGTCAACTTTACCGGTACCAAAAAACTTGCGTCACAAATCCCAGTAGCCCTGCTATGATTAGTCCAAAGTAAGGACAAAATCGATGTAACAACTGATATGACAGGCCGTGGCTTTGCCAGGCGGCATGTGACTGCCTGCCTGGGATGGAGTGTTATTCTCTACCTTATCTTATTAGAAAAATACTTTTATTAACGTGGCGGCCCTGTTTTGGTCCGTGCACGTCCCAGTGGCGCTGGATGAATGACGCTTGGGACGTCTCAGTACCCCCAATCGCTATCGTGCGGTTTGGGTGTCCTTGTTAAAGGCGGTGTTTTGAACCATCTCGCGTCCTTGATTCGGTACCTTCATCTTAGCGGTGATGTCACATACGCAATGCGAAAATTAACCAACTGTCGTTAACTTGTTGGCACTGATACTGACAAGGAGTATGCCCTTGGACACTTATTCGCAGCATTCTGTCGTCTTTGCCCGAATAACTACTTCCTCTCTGGGAGTTTGGAGATGTTCGGAGTCCGATAAGGAACCGAAACAGAGTCTGGAGACGTTGGGTGTCTTGTGCGCAGCCGCAACAGATCATTGGTGATAAGAAGAACCTTGTTAGACAAGAGCCTGAAGAAGATCTACACTTAATGCATGCGTGTTTGTCCTGGGCACCCGCACCGTCACAACCCTCAATGGTGACCATGGTTTGTGATGGGCGCCAAATGACCGCTGCAGTCGGCGCGCCCGAAAACATCAATCAACAACAAAATGTGATTTGAAAGGCCGACTGAACTGGAGAGGGCGGCTGAGTGGCGCTGGCCAGGAGCGGGGTGGCGCTGGACGGAGTGGCGTTGACTGGAGTGGTGCTGACGTGAGTGGTGCTGGCCGGAGTGGCACTGGCCGGAGTGGAGGGGCGCTGGCCGGAGTGGCACTGGTGGCCGGAGTGGAGGGGCGCTGGCCGGAGTGGTGTGTCGCTGGCCGGAGTGGCGCTGGCCCGAGAAACCAATAAAATTCAATCTATCACCCCGGAGTTACGTGTGGTGCTTGCTTACCCACTCCCAATGCCTGCTTCACTCACTGGTGCAAACGTTCCGTTGCCAGACGGGTGAAAACACGACGTGTGGCTGACCATGTGTCTGACCTCCTGTGACTGTTACGCCTGCGGCCTGTGGCGCGTGACGGGCACGCCCGTACCGTGACGCCCGTGACGCGTGCTCCCGCGGTCCGGCAGGGAACGCGGACGGTCCGATCTCGCCGTTCCATGACATCCCGCTGTACGCCGACGCCGAGAAGAAGGTGTTCAACATGGTGGTGGAGGTGCCGCGCTGGACCAACGCCAAAATGGAGGTCAGTCTGGCTCCTCTGACCTGACCGGGCCGCGGTGGGCGGCGGACTGTTGTATCGCGTGTTCAGACAGGTCTGCCCCTGTCGCTTACCCGGGTGGTCCCCTGGACGGACGGCTCTCTATGTGGCAGTTGGGACTGATGAAAACGCTCCGTTGCATGTGCGAACTGCTGTTGACTCTTACCCTGAACTGCTGATGACTTACGCTGAACTGTTGACTCTTACGCAGAACTGCTGTTGACTCTTACGCTTCTTGCCTTACTGTCGAATGGATTTGGCACGAACTTGTCCTTGTTTGCAATTTTGGCAATGAACCATAACGTACAACGATGTCAAAGGAACCCGGATACTTGAGCAGAGCGGCAGGCAGTAACAGAGCTGGCGAACACAAATGGTGTAACGCAACCCAGCGGTGGGTGCCTGGGGCGTAACGTGCGCGCTCGGAGCCTATGTGCCTGACCTGTGCCCTGTACGCGCTGGCAGGGGGGGGGGGGGGGAGGAGCGCCGCTGTCTGCCCCCGGGCCGGGGTGGTCCGTCGGCCGGCCCGGTCCGGACCCACGGCAAATAAACTGCAGCTGGGCGGTCGACCGACTCCGGACGGCGACGCTGCGGCGGCCGTCGCCCCGTTCGCGGTGGTCGGCTTGTGTGACGGCTGGTGCGTCGGCGGCAGACGCGGCGCAGGGCCGAGGCGTCAGTGAGCTGCTCCCCGGCGCCGTGCTACACCGCCGGCCGCCATGGCTCGGGGCGAGGGGAAAGGCCGCTGGACTGCGTCCTGGCGCGCTGGGACGGGGAGGGGAGGGAGGGGGGCAGCATATGGCTCAGCTGCGTTTGTTGGGCGGCGGCGCAGGCCCCTGCTACGGTGACCTCGGGTGGTGTGGTCCAGTAATCTCAAGAGGAGTAAAAAATTTCAGAGGAAAACCATCAGCATAAGCCTTTCGGACATTGTAGCAAGCTGTTATGGCGTGGTTAAAAAATATTCCACGCGCACTATGAAAGTGGCCGTTCATAGTTGTTGGTACCGCAAGTTATATTGTTTGGCGCCAGCGTGTGTTGTCAAAACAAGATGCTTTCTTACGCCAGAAATGTTCTCCTGGGCTCGTTTTTTCTGGTCTCGGCTCGGTTTTAGAATACGCCACAATGCCTCAAGTACCACGTCCAAAAATGTGGCTAGATCGAAGTGGATTGTGCAGTGTTTTCGATTGGCGCATTTACCCGAACTCGCCGTATTTAGTACAGCCGTGAATCTCGCGGTACGTTATTGAAAGTGGTGTGCTATTTGGGGCTCCCCCCCCCCCTCCCCGTTAAGATTCGATGTCAGATTCCCAGGGCTGGGGTACCTCTACTGTGACGTTTCCGCAGGAGTCGGCGCCACCCGCCTGTGCGGTACTGTCGCGACGCTGCGCCTCGGTGGTGCGAGGCACGTGCCGCTCCGTTGGTGCTGCCTCAGCAGCGCGGCTCTCCGTCGTCCCAGACACCAGCTGGGACAACCGCTCACCGGCGCCGGGAGTGAGGCGCGGGATGACGGGAGGGACGGGGAGGAGGTTGGGGGGGGGGGGGGGCATTGTGCCGTAAGCCGTTGGCGTCGGCTGCAGACACCGCCTGTGGACTGTGAGCCGCTGCGGGCGGCTGATGCAAGGCTGATACTGTCGCCGTCAGCTCGGGGACGGCGCGCCCCGCGGTGCGGGATTCCCCCGCAATGGCCGGCTTCCGCCGCCGCCGGTCATGGCCTCCGGCCTGATGCGTCAGCGACCGTGCGACGGGGGTGCGAACGAACGGGCCGCTCTTCACCCCGCTCTTCGCCCCGCTCGTCGTCCCGCTCTTCACCCCGCTCTTCACCGTGCTCTTCACCGTGCTCTTCGTTCGGCTCTTCACCACCGCTCTTCACCGTGCTCTTCGTTCGGCTCTTCACCCCGCTCTTCGCCCCGCTCTTCACCCCGCTCTTCGCCCCGCTCTTCACCCCCACTCTCGTCCCGCTCTTCGTCCCGCTCTTCGCCCCGCTCTTCACCCCGCTCGTCATCCCGCTCTTCACCCCGCTCTTCACCCCGCTCGTCGTCCCTCTCTTCACCCGCTCGTCGCCCGCTCTTCATCCCGCTCTTCACCCCGCTCTTCGCCTCGAGCGGCCTCGGCCCAGCCCCGCCGCCGGCCCAGCAAGGCGACACCGGCGTGACGTCATGACAGCCGTGACGTCATGACAGCCGTGACGTCATGACAGCCGTGACGGTCGAGTGGCGCACTTGTGGAGAACAAATACATCTGTGGGTCGTTCCCAACGCTTTCGCCAGTCCGCGAGCTTCGACTTCTTTGTCATTTGGGGCGTTTGTCAGTTGTAGGTAAAGTAAGATCGTTTAGAAGAGGTGCAAAAAGGTGAAAACACCGGAGGTAGTCCCGAACAGGACCACGGGACGGGCGGGTACTGTTAGCAAAGCCGGTCGGCAAGTTCGCTTTTTCTGTTTGGTTCTGAGCGCTACGCACAAATGACAGGGGTGGGGGCATGCACTTAAAGGTGCGCCACTGAAACTAAGGGTCGTGATTCAGTTCAACGCCCAGCGAGACTGACTGTTTTTCATTGGATTGATTGTTTTTTGCGACCCCATTCTCCCCAACATTGGAGAGAATGAGGTGGCAGGCAGTGACCATGAATGCCTATCTGCCGCCGTTGTCGTATCAGTCTCGCGTACTTCTGTCGGACGGTGATAGCGGGACGGCCCTCTCTTCACAGCCTGAGGTCGGAAGTCATAAATATGCTACGTGCTCTGACGTCGGCGGTCTGAAGTGTCCGTGACTTACTGTCGTGCAATCGCCGAGATTGCACTCGCCGCCGCGCGGTGTCAGCCCTGTCCGGGTGGATTTCAGACAGCGCGGCCGGCGGGCCCGACGCTGGCCGGGATCCATTCGCCCGCGCATTCGGTGACGTCACGTCCAGGGGCGGCGAGATCCTCATGCGTCAATGGACGGGAACGACGCGATTCGAACGCGCGAAACCTTTTTTTATTTTACCCCTCTGCTCATCTCGTCTGCCGTGTGTTCTGCCTGTGTATTGCCAGCAATGACAATGCGCATTTTCGTGGTCGTTCATTGCGTGTGGGAGGGGGGGGGGGGGGGGGCGTGCCCCTCGCTGAGCACATCGTGGCCTCCGGGCGTCGGAGAGAGAAGGTATGCAAGTGACATGGACGCCCGACGACATGTCAATTGCTACCGCACTCTTAACACGAAATGCCAAGGTACCCCGGAAAGGTGTTACGAGATATATTATGAAGTATGATTATATATGTATATTAGATATATAAAGCGTTGTCAGGTGCGTAGTCTCCTATTCAGTGCCCCCCCCCCCCCCCCGCCGGTTTGGGCTTCAGCCTCCCAACTTTGGGACTAAAGTGGGCAAAATCTGGGGAAACCCGTTTGTGGGCACATTTCAGGGGTAGGTTAGGTCACTGTTCAGACCCCCCCCCCCCCGCCAACTCAATTTCCGAAACCACTCCTGTGTGCTGTGTTTATATGTGGTTGAAGGATGACATCACGCGGGAAAAAACAAGGTGCTGGATATGCATCATGTGCGATGTTCAGGGATCGGCCAGATGTCAAAACCGTCAACCGGCCGCGCGTGTACCGCTGTCCGTGCCGACGCAAGCGACTGCCTGCCCTCCCCCACCGTCTGCGGATGTGGGCGGAGACGTAACCCGGCCTCCGCCCGCTCACCTAGTGCAGAGACGACCTTCCGGCGCCGGTCAAAGGTCAAGCGCGCTGATTGGCCGACGGCCGGGGTGCGTGCCGTGTCTGGTGGCTAGGGCACTTCCGCCGCGCCGACCCGGTGGACTCAGTCCACGGACGGTCCGGGCGGAGGCAGAGCCGTCGGATTACAATGGATGTCTGTCTCACATGCGCGGTATTGACTCAGGTGCAGTCGGAGGCGCAGCTGTTGTAACGGCCCGAAATATGTTAAGCGGGGCAGTATCGGTGGACTTTGACTGACCTCAGCGTCCGTCCAGGTCCTCCACTATCGATGGTAACGATCTCGGCGAGTGCACGCTTGTATAGAGCAACTTATTATTCAATCGGACCATGCCTTGGGTCTGTTGACCTAGACACTGACGGAGAAAGGGATAGGTATCCCTTCAAGGTCACAGGCTTTGGCAGCTACAGAACAGCTTCACTTGACCTTGCGCATTGGTCAAGGCGCGCTTGACCTCGCACATTCACCCCGAAAGGCCCTCATGAGACAGTGTCGCTTTGCATTCTCGTCAGATGGCCTTTATCTCATAGTTCTGCAATGAGCGCTTAACCGGCCCAACGTGCTCGTTTTCGTTCGTCTCAGGCACGGCAATGTGACTTCCTCATCTGCATATGACATTTTTTGGCGAAAGGTCATCGTAGGTCACCGAGCGAAATGCACCTGGAAATGCAACAGACTCGACAACCGATTGACCTAGGCCAAACTCCAGCAGTATGGCATCATGAGTTGAACACGGGATCGTGGCTCGGCAGGGGTGTTCATCTGCTATCAAATTGAAACGACAGAACCGATATTTCTCCGAGGTCGCTACGACCGGGTACTCAGTTTGCTCGAACCGTACGTGAGTTGTGAGGCACGGTGGCGCACAGCCCGTTGTTCGGGTCTACGCAGTGTACCGACTCGGTCAGAGGCCGTGCCAGCCGCCGTGAGTTGCCACGACGCTCCCCGTCGGTCGGAGCGAGCGGGGCTGGTGGGGACACGGTCTGGCACGCGCTGATCGCACCTGACCTGGACCTTGTATGACCTGCCTGACCTGACCTGACCTACCTATCTGACCTGCACGTGACCTGACTTGTACCTGACCTGGCCCGACCTGATCAGACCTTGCTGTCGGCAGAGTCGCCACCGGCGAGCGGCTGAACCCCATCAAGCAGGACACCAAGAAGGGCAAGCTGCGCTACGTGGCCAATGTGTTCCCGCACCACGGCTACATCTGGAACTACGGCGCCCTGCCTCAGGTCGGTGTCGGCTCGGTGGTACGCGGCCGGCGGCGGTACACAGCCTCGGGGGTACACGGCCGGCCTCGGTGGCACATGGCCGGCCCCGGGGGTACACGGCCGTCCGGCCGTGTACTCCCGGGGCCGGCGCTCTCACAAAGGCAGCTGTGCACACTGGCTCAGGTTACAGTCACAGAATACGACCTGCGTTGTGCTCTCCGCCCGTTATTGGTCCCTTGTTTAAGCGACGAGGGAGCTCGAGCATTTTGACCAAAGGGTATTGGCGTGCGGCGGCTGTAACATGGCGTTCAATGCCATTTGAACACACCAACACTTGTGCGCGCTTTGGGTGTGCCATGCGCGAGCGCGAACGAGCATCCCGTGTCCGCGCCGTGTGGAATCTGAGTCGGGTCATGTTTTTGCCTAAGATAGTGCACAATAGTCCAACTGGCTGGACTTTGACAACGACTAGTTGCATTTCCGTCACGGCTGTGCAGACCTGTACCCGTTATATGGCGCCTCACACGCGCGGCTCGCGGCCGATCTCTCGGGCTGACGCCGGGCCCTGTCGGCAGACCTGGGAGAACCCACACGTCGCGGACGAGTCGACCGGCTTCATGGGCGACAATGACCCCATCGACGTCTGCGAGCTGGGCAAGCAAGGTGAGGCGCCTCACGCGGCCGGCGGGTGACGTCATCGAAGCGGCCGGCGGAGGACGTCACTGAGGCGGGGTGACGTCATCGGCTGGCGTCGGGCCGGACGGCGGGACTGTGGCGGCCGTAGGCTCACCGGAAGAGGATTCAGCGGAGGAGGGGCAGTCCGCTGATGGCGCTGGCCGGTGGCCCGTGGCTCGCACCGAGTGTCTTCATACTTGTGTATTTCTGCTGTGTCGCCAGATGGTCGCAGCCGTTTAGCTCTGTAACTGCGGAATGGGGGGAGGGGGGGGGGGGGATCCATCGGGTTTTCCTGTGGTGCATTGTGTTGGAGTTGTGGATGTGGATGAGATCACGCCCCTGCGAGCGTGATCGGGTGGCTCAGGTCAAGGTGGTCATGTGACGCCCCTCTACCGCCCTCCGCAGGTGCACCGCCGCGGTGAGGTGCTCCAGGTGAAGGTAGTCATGTGACGCCCCTGTGCCGCCCTCCGCAGGTGTGCCGGCGGGGTGAGGTGCTCCAGGTGAAGGTGCTGGGAGTGCTGGCCCTGATCGACGAGGGCGAGACGGACTGGAAGCTCCTCGCCATCAACGTGGATGACCCGCTGGCCGAACAGCTGAACGGTAGGCCGGCGGGACGGCTGAACGGTCGGAACGGCGGCCGCGAGTGGGCCGGGCGCCGCCGCCCGGCCGGCTGACGGCTGAACGGTCGGAAACGAACGGCCGCGAGTGGGCCGGGCGCCGCCGCCCGGCCGGCTGACGGCTGAACGGTCGGAACAGTGGCCGCGAGTGGGCCGGGCGCCGCCGCCCGGCCGGCTCAGGGCCTCAAATGACCCGCACAGGGCCTCACAGCGGCTGGCACAGGGTCTCATAATGGCCGGCACATGGCCTCACAGCAGCTGGCACAGGGTCTCACAGCGGCTGGCACAGGGTCTCATAATGGCCGGCACATGGCCTCACAGCAGCTGGCACAGGGTCTCACAGCGGCTGGCACAGGGTCTCACAATGGCCGGCACCAGGGCCTCACAGTGGCCTACACAGGGCCTCGCAGCGGCCGGCATGGGGCCTCACAGCGGCCGGTACAGAGTCTTACAGCGGCCACGGCCGAATGACTGCGGCAAACCGTCTGCCATTCAGTCACATTAGCATGCCTCGACGGCGGCGGGTCCTGCTGCATCTCCCATCCGCTGGCGGCCGCTGCCCCGGCTGCCGCGGGCCGCCACAGCGCTGTGTGAGCTCTGGTGGCGACGGTCCCTGCCGGCGGGACCGGCGGCCGGTCGCGCTGTGGCCGGCCCCGCCGCCGCGGCTGAGACGCGCGCTGGTGTGCCGACAGACGTGGCCGACGTGGAGAAGCTGATGCCCGGCTACCTGAGCGCCACCGTCGAGTGGCTCCGGCTGTACAAGGTGCCCGACGGCAAGCCGGAGAACAAGGTGAGGCCGCGGGGCCGCGGTCAGGGGTCACGGGTCACTGGCACGCAGGCGGCCGCGCGCGTTGGACGGCTGGCACAGGGTCGGGGGCAGTGGTGCCGCAGACAATGGGCTGCGGGCGCCGCAGCGAGAGAGCGATGCTACCAAGCTACTAGAGCGAGCCATCAAGAGCTAGAGCGAGCTACCAAGAGCTAGAGCGAGCTACCAACGCGCCACCCCGTCGGCATCGGTCGCTGCTTTTTGGTTGCTGTGTTTTAGGTCGCGTGGTTGTAAATGCTCTGTCATTATATCGAGGCTGTGTTTTACGTCTGGACCAGTGCACCGTAGCCCATCCTTGCTTGTCTCGACGCTTTTGCGTGATCACGTTGTGATGAGACAGTGCTTTCTCCTCGTTTGCCACTCGTCTGCCAGTGCACCATTGCGTGCTGCGGTTCTTACTCGTAGGGTATTATTTGGCAGTGTCCTGGCATGTGGTACGCTGGGCGGTGTCCAGGCGCCGCAGACGTGTCATCTCATGCGACTGCGAGGGGCGTGGGTTTGACTCCACACAACCGGCCGCTTGTTTCGGCATTCATGGCCGCCACCGGCGTGTAACGCATCGCCAACAGGCGACTTGGTGCAGCGTGTGAGACGCAGAAGGGCGCTGAGTGGTGCTGCGTCAGGCTGATTCCGTGACGGCGCAGTGAGCCAGGTGGTGAGTGACGCACGTCTCCGCGTGCCGGCAGTTCGCCTTCAACGGCGAGGCCAAGGACCGCGAGTTCGCTCACTGCGTGATCTCGGACACTGCCGACCAGTGGCGGGAGCTGGTCACGGGCAAGGCGGACGCCGGCGGCCTGGACATGTGAGAGATCATGTCCCCCCCCCCCCTGTACCCCCTGTGTCTCGGGTCTGAGCGCCGGGGCAGCCTCCCCCTCCCAAAAAAACGAGCGGATCTCCGGTGTTGTGTTTTGGGAGGGGTGGATCGGGTCCATGGAAGGGGGGGGGGGAGAGGAAGGTGAAGAGCAAACCGGCAGTGGAGGTTCTTCAAACACAACCACCCAACAAGATTCCGACGGAGCCCACGCCATGTCAACAACTGCAATTTCTGCCCCTCAATTTGGATGCACCGTGACCTGATCGAAACGATCTAGACCGCACAAAATGCATGAAAACCAAAATTTCAAAACGGTTTCACTCTCGCGTGACCTTTCCTTCGCCTAGTGGCAGCCGGCGGGCCACCACCTGTGGCGTGTGATTGCACCGTCGCCGACCTCCTCCAGCTGATTACCACAGTCTGTAGATGACGCCCGCTCGTGGGACGGGTCCTCTGTCTGTCTGTGTTGGTCGTCGGTGGCGGCGGGGCCGTGTGTTGGGGGCCCGCCGCCGGCCTGTGGATGCAGAGAGCGCCCCCTGTGTTCCGGCTCTGGCCCCCTGGAGCTGCCGCCGGCCTGTGCCCGTGCTCCGGCTCCGGCCCTCCGGAGCCGCCGCCGGCCTCTGGTATAGAGAGCTCCCTCTGTGTCGGCAGCCACGCGGTGACCGTGGACGACGCCCAGATGAAGCTGGAGAGGGACGAGGCGGAGGCGGTGCTCGCCGGCGCCCCGACCCTCCACCCGCCGGCGGCCGCTCGACAACAGCGCAGGTCAGTCAGCGGGGCCCGCTCCCGGCTGCGTTCACGTGTTGGGTGCGACCGGTGAATGCTGTCGACTCTAGTTTTATGCTGATTGGTTGTGATCAGGTGACCAGAGGTCATGTAGTTCAGCACATCAGGTTGGTTGAGAAGCACCTTGCAGGCAAGAGATCCAGAGGTCTAGATCAAAGCAATAAATGTGCACAATACGATTTAGTCTTGGAATTGTGGTTATCATGTATTGTTTTGCAAGCGTACCCTGTGTTTATTTAGTTGGATATGGTTGTGTAGGGTTTTCATTATTTGACCTCCGTATTACGACCCTGTTCGCTGCCCGCGGCGCTTCAATCGTGCCTGCTTTCCTCGAATTCCCGCCTGCTGTCGAATTCCGCCCTTCTCTCCCCGAATTCCCGCCTGCTGTTTCTTAAATTCCCGCCTGCTGTTCTTAAATTCCCGCCTGCTGTTCTTAAATTCCCGCTGCTCTCCTCAAATTCCCGCCTGCCCTCCTCGAATTCCCACCTGCCCTCCTCGAATTCCCACCAGCTCTTCTTGAATTCCCGCCTGCTTGTCCTTAAATTCCCGCCTGCCCTCCTCGAATTCCCGCCTGCCCTCCTCGAATTCCCGCATGCTCTCCTTGGATTCCCGCCTGCTCTTCTTGAATTCCCGCCTGCTGTCCTTAAATTCCCGCCTGCTGTCCTTAAATTTCCGCCTGCTCTCCGCGAATTCCCGCCTGCTCTCCTTGAATTCCCGCCTGCTGTTCTTGAATTCCCGCCTGCTGTCCTTAAATTCCCGCCTGATCTCCTCGAATTCCGGTATGACCGGTCGGTGTGCCACTCCAGCAGTCCATCGGAGCCGCCCAACCATCGTGCAGTGAGTCGGCCTCATTCGATCCCAGCGTTCTCACGCTCCCTTTTTCGCGTTTCCAGTCAACAAGGTGTCCTTCCTGTCCAACTCGAACTAGCCGCTGCACCCTGCTGCCACGTGCGTGGACCGGCGTCCGTCTCGTGACGTCACGGCCGGCCCGCGGACGGTCTGTGACGTCACGGCGGAGAAGTCGTCGGGGATCTGAAACGCAGGCTCGGCCATGTCTATGTCTATGACTAATGTCTAAAAAAATACACGTTGCTGTGTCTAATCTACTCGGCACGAAACTTTTAGGCGACGGTGGTTCGGTGTGATACTCAGACGTGTGCTCTGTACTTAAGGAACCAAGCTGCCAGCGAGATCAAACGTCGGCTCCCACATTCACGTACTTAATGCAGGCGACGCCGAAGCCCGCTCGTGTCGTGTTCCGGGTTGTGGCCATGTGGCGACGGGTGAGTGTGTCCGCTGGTGGGTGACCGGGCGCGCACGCGGAGCACTGTCGTACCGCCGTGAGCAACTCGTCCTGCACTGAACGACGCCAATACGCTTGCATCGTGTTCTGCGTCCTGCGTGTTCTGCGCTGTCGTCGGCAGAGTTGTCTGCCACGCGGTGGGTGCGTGCGCGCGTGCGTGCGTGCGGCGTGCGTGCGCGCGCGTGCGTGTTGGTGTTGTGTGTGTGTGAGCAGGCGCAGCGGCTGGAGAGGGAGAGGTCTCCGCCCGGGCAGTGCGTGGGGATGGGGGGCTCTCACAACGAGCGCGAGAGAGCCTGACGAGAGTTTGGGGTGCGTGAGCCTCGGGCCGCAGCAGCGCGAGGTCTTGCTTCTCCGGCTCCGCTGAAGCCAGCCTGAGTGCGGGGCGTCCGCCGGGTTGACGTGGAATGAAGCCGGAGCGGATCTCTGTCAGGCAGGCCTGCCCCGCCCCTCCTGCCGGTTTGGAGTGCCAGACGAGCGCCCGTGGCGCGCGCCGCCAGCCTGCAAACCCGGCTGGTCTTGGTCGTGTGTTGGACGCACCGGGCTCGACCTGACCAGACCTGACCTGACCAGGCCTGACCTGACCAGACTTGACCTGACCAGACGTAACCTGACCTGACCAGGCCTGGCCTGACCTGACCAGGCCTGACCTGACCAGACTTGACCTGACCAGACGTGACCAGACCTGACCAGACTGACCTGACCAGGCCTGATCTGACCAGACTGACCTGACCAGACCAGACCTGCCCAGACCTGACCTGAACTGACCAGGCCTGATCTAACCAGAACCTGACCAGACCAGACCTGACCTGACCTGAACTGACCAGACCAGACCAGACCAGACCAGACCTGACCTGACCTGAACTGACCAGGCATGATCTGACCAGGCCAGGCCAGACCAGACCTGACCCTAGCTATCATTAAGGCGCTCTGCTTTATAGAGGTGGGCGAAGACAGTCTGCAAGTGATTTGATCGGATTCCCTAAGTGCCCTTTCGGCACTAAGGAGTTTTAATCCAGTCCCTTGCACAAGGATGTTTTACTGCGTCTTCGGCTCTCTGTACCGGGCTGGCAAGACCAAAGTACTTTGCTGGATTCCGAGCCACGTTGGTATTGCGGGAAATGAGCTGGCTGACTCTGCTGCAAAGCGTGCTACTCGTCGCCCCTGTCGCAGAGCGTTTCCGATACCCGCCACAGACCTGTACTCGCCCATCTCTGCCTTTTTGCGCGGGGAATGGCAGAGCACATGGGATGCGATGGACACCACTAAACTGAAAAACATCAAGCCAGTTGTTCAGGAATGGCGGTCATCCTATCAAAAGTCTAGACGGGAGGAAGTAATCCTGTGTCTGTTGCGGATTGGTCATACTTATGCTACACATCGATACCTACTATGTCACGACGAACTACCACGATGTCGCCACTGCAACACCACGCTCACAGTGAAACATGTGCTCATATTTGTCCCATACTACGTGTTGAGCGTCTGAGGTTCTTTGGCCCGGCGGCGCCGTCCCTGACGCTCTCCGATTTACTAGCTGACAGCTCACCACATATCCAACATACCCTCAAGTTCGTATCACATGTTAAGTTCTGCACTTTATATACACCTGCCTGAATAGTTTATACCGCGTGTAGGAAGTTTTTAGGTTGCCGAAAGCTTCGTATCAATGACGCGACCTGACGTGACCACGCCTGGCCTGAACTGACCTGACCTGCTATGACTTGCCCAGGCCTGACCTAACGTGATCGGGCCAGACCTGACCAAACCTGTCCATGTAAGGTTCGACCTGACCTGACCTGACCAGACCAGACCTGACCAGACCAGACCTGACCAGACCAGACCTGACCTGACCTGACCAGGCCTGACCGTGTAAGGCTCCGACGGAGCGAGTTGAATGCACTCAGCCTCATCATCAGATTTCGCATTCTGCTGTGGGTCGTTGCGTGGCGGTGGTTTCTTGGTCATAGTCAAATACCCTCGGCCTCATTTCAAGATACGATACATGCCTTATGGGCATGGTTTAAAGTTCATAAGGCAGCTATATGGTGTGAAACGACTGGCTTTGGCCACTTAACGCACAAACTGATGCCCAGGATGATCATTAGCTTGAACTGTCCTCTCTAGCCTTCCGCACACCTTGGTACTCATCGGCAACCAGCAGACCCACACCACCGAGCATAAACGTGGAGAGGTGATACGGGCACAGGGGAACCATTTCAGAGCCCCAGCGGATCGCGAAGACAATGTACCGGTGTTGGGGGGTTGACATTAGGGGGTGTCATCCGTATCGTTTAACACTATCAAAAAGCAGGCCAACATCGAGCGTTCGTGAGAATAGAGGTAGTTAAGAAGCAAAGCCTGCATGACGTCAAGTATACCATATTTGATGACGTCAGTGGCACGGAGCCTCTCAGTTAGCTAGCTGACTGCTACACGACCCATTAGTTTGAATGGTGAGTATGTTTTGGTGGCGTGCGGCTGGCGCTTCCCGGCTGGACTCTGAATGAATTCCATGGTTTTGTCATGCGAACACAATTCTAGAAAGGAGGTTGAATCTCGGAACAGTTTACCTAATCAGAATTTCATATTCTCCATGGGGTGTAACATAACTAGGGGTTACAACGTCATG